ACAGGAAGCTGAACAAAGGCTGTAAAACAGATCCCTCAGTCTCCCTGTACCTGCCAGGCCTGCCACTGCTTGAACTCCTCCTTCGTGGCAAACAGCTGTCTGGTTCATGGCTGCTTGCCCCATTGCCACCACAGTGACTGGCCCAGGGCCCCAACTGAGTTTGACCCCCATGATTTATAAGATAAACTGAGTGAAAGCTAAGAGCTGGCATTTTCTGAGGGGCGCCTTGAATCTAAAAAGGTTGAGAAACATTGGTTTAGAGCAGGGGTGGGCAAAATATGGCCTGCTGGCCGGATCCAGCCCATCAGGTGCCTACCAATTAATTGTATACAGCATGGCCCATGGCAGTGTGCATGGGGCTGAGCCCTGCCTACTCCCACCCAGGGTAGTGCATGCTGTGTTCTCACCGTCCCCCGCCAGAGGTCCCCAGCCCCAGGCAGTGTGTACAGCTTCTGGGCAGGGCTGTTGCTGCTGCTACTGCAGCCACCTGGGGAGCACCCTTCAGCGGCTCTTTCTCCTGTTCCTGCTGCAGCACTCCCAGCAGCAGATAGGGAGCAGAAGCAGCAGCAGGCTGGGGGAGAGGGGGAAACTGCAACTGGGGGCTAGGAACATGAGGGTGGTAGAAGCATGGGGCCAGAGCTGGGTGGGGCTGTGGCCGGTGGGAGTGTAGCACAGGATGCCTCAGGTGGAAGCAGCTCCATGCAGAGCACCAGGGAGCAGCTGCAGGCCAAGGGGTGGGGGGGGGCAGGTAAACTACATCTGCACCACCCGTGCAAGCTCTGCTGCGCATGTCCCCACCCCTCCCTCCCTTCTTCCCCCCACTCACCCCCAGTCAGCTCCCAGGATCTAGCACTTGGGCAGCCCCGCACATGCATACACCCAACCCACACACACTCACACCCAAACCACATCCCCCACCATACCCACACACATACCCTCCCATACACCCCATCCCACCATACCCACATCTACCACGTGCACACCCACCTCCAAGCACACACCACATACTCCCCCATGTACATCCCCTACCCTCCTCACAATTTACAAGAGTAAGACTTTATATTGATCTATTATATACAATCAACTCTATATACACTACATAAACACACATCAATCAGGACAAAAATATTTTTTGAAGTAACATTGAAATACATTATAGTAGATGTTTGATTTTTAGTATATAATTTGTTTTTATCTATGCTTTGTTAAAATGATTTCTTCTGAAAGATTTTATGTGCGTGGTCCTTGACTTGATTAGTTTGGTGACATTCTCTGAGAGGCCCAATGCCCCTGAACCCCCCACTGATTGGTCGAGGGTGATGGGGCAGGTTGTTAGAGGGGTCAAAAACCCTCACTACCTGACAGGTCATGCCTGTGCCTTGTCACCTAGAGGGCAGAACTTCTGGGGCCCCAGAGGCAGGTCATACACCATGAGGGCAGGCCCTATGGAGGGGCAGTGTTTCCCGGGCAAAGGATCGACCTTCTGGTGTCAGGGACTATATGATGGGGGCAGGGGATTCTGGGCCCAACATGGAGGTGAGCAGAGCAAGGTTTGGTGTCGGGTGGGTGGGAGTTCTTATGTCAAGGACCATGCAACAAGGCAGGACTTCCAGTTCCAAGATGGCAACCCTCCGCCACCCAAAAGGAGTACTTCTGGGGCAAAGGGAGGGAATTCTGGTGGCAAAGGTCAGGGGGCTAGGGGTGGGACTTCTGCTCCCAAGATGGTGACCAGGGGGTGGGTTACCTGTTGGAGGCAGGGCTTAGCAGTTTGACAAGAGGTTTACCCTTGCAGCCTTCAACCGTTCATCAAAATTTGTTAAGCAACCCTCCAGTCAAAATAATTGCTCACCCCTGGTCTAGAGCTACATTCATGCAGTGTTAAAGCACACTAAATCCTCTCAAAATGCCAGGGAGTGCAAAAAACAAAGATGCCAAGAAAAAAAACAACCCTGAACTTGATTGAACTTGAGAAGTTTTGTTTGAGAAGTTTTGAACTGTGCATTTTACAGCCTAAAGATTAATAGGATAAAGTATGCATTTAATAAGAAAACAAAAATAGTCCTATAGGAGTTTTATACAAGTAAAAGTAGAATAACGAACTTGGAGTTTTCACTTTAGTCCTGAAACAGCTTGCTATTGTTGATCAAATAGTTGAAATTCATTTTTTAAAATTGAATTTTAGTTTTACAGGAGCTGTATCTTAAAATGCACATTGGATCAGCGTTAAACCTTGGGGGAATCCTTTCTTGAGTTCTTTTTCTTACTCATCTTTTATAATTTCTTTTTAGGTTTATACTTCTTGGTAATTTTTTGGCTTCTTATTACTTGATGTGTTGTTACAAGTTAAAATATATATTATGGCACCTTTACTTCTAGAATCACTTAACGTATAAGGACTTGAGTAAGAGTAGTTTTCTGATATACTCCCTTCTTCCACTCTGTGCTTGTGTCTTGTCTCCTTCAAAAACAAATGATGAGAAAATGTAACCACGTGTGCTTTCTCTGTAATTACAATTGTTAAAAGCAAGCGTAAGAACAGCCAGCTAGAAACTTTATTTGTAAAGTTTTCACTCTGAGCAAATGGTTAAAATCTCATTTTATAAATACCTGAAATGAAGGGGTTTCTTTATTGGAAATACTGACACAACCTTATCTCTCAAGCACAGGCAATTTGTGAACCAGCGATACTGTTTGTTTTTGCTAGATAGTAACAGTTCTCAATTTATTATACACCCTAACATGCACATATAAAATTATGCTCCTGTGAGCTGAAGGGTAAAGCCATTTTACCCATTTTGATCACCAGTTGTCATCCTACTTGTCATTGGGAAAAGACTAAATGCCTGCTTCGTGTTTCACTTTTTTGAAGGGGTTTTGCTGCAGTTGCTATATAGCAGCTGTGACATTCAACAAAAATTATCCAGTCGGTCCAGTCTTGTTCTCTATAACTAGAGAAAATTACTATGATTAAAAGGAGAAGAATGATAGTTAACCTCTTGTTTGATTCTTAGTATGGTTTTTATAGTACTTAGGAAGGAAAACTGTGTAAATCTTTCCATGTTTGGTTTGTATTGGATTGATGAAGTTCCTCATCAAATCTCATTCCTCTGTTTTTATGGATATTGGAATCTTTTAAATACTTGCATTTGTTGAACCAAAAAAAGTGATAGAAGCAGAAGTCAGCAAAAACCCAGACAAATGTTGTGAAGTTCTGGGAGCTAGTGAATCCATGTCTGTGCCAAGGGCCACCTATGAGTATTCTCTTATGTAGGTGGAATTTTGGCAATGAGAGATGAAAAGCACCTTAAAGATAATGCATATGGAAAACTGTGTTGGAGGCGGTATGCAGAACAAGAGCGAAATGGAAAGATTTCAAAAGGGAATTGGATGTTTATATTGAGAACAAGGGTATCTGGAGTCATAACTGTTAATGCAAATAAAGAATTTTGCAAGGGATAAAAAGCCTCATGCTCCAGCACATAAACCAATCTCTAACTGTTAAGGTTTAGGGCAAGATGTTTGAAGTAGCAGATTAAACTGCATCTGCCTAGTGTAGGCTTTTTTCACATTGCTCTGAAGCATCTGGTCCTGGCCAGTTTAAAAAAAGAGAGAATATTGGATTAGATGAAGCTTGGGTCTAATTACAATCTGGTAACTCCTATGCTTTTTGCAGAAGTCAACAGATTTATTTGAATTTGAGAAGATAAGAGAGTAGATATAGGTGTGGTTTGTTTCAGCCTGGCTCATACAGGCTCTCCAGCGTGATGCGTGCATGTATTGCTGTAATGAGCAGATGTGATTTGGGCAGACATGTCACTACCATGATATGTATGGTATGTATAATTAGGTTTAAAAGTTCTAGGGTTGCCAACATTAAAAGAAAGAAGCAGGCAAGAAGAAGCAGGGGGTGTCAAAGCATCCTCTGACTGCTGATTGTCTGCTGTCTGAGATGACACAGTAGGTGGCACAGTAAGGCAGACAGGTCATGCCATAGCAGAGGGTAGTATATAAGAAATGGCTTCTTGGATTGTAAGGGAGACTCTGTCATACATAGAAAATTAGTGTCTATTCAATACTGCATTTAAGAATAGGATTAGAAAAGTAATTGCACTTAATATATGTCTCATTTGAAAAAAAAAGTTAACGAGGCAATTAGTTTGTTGATATGTCAGTCTTTTACTTCATTTTGCTACTATCAATCAACAACAAGGGTTTTGTTGTTGATTGATAATAGCACCTGATTTCAAGGAATTTAGAAGCATCTTCTCCAATAAATTCCCTGGCTTCTCTCTCTCATATGCACACCCACACATTCACATGTGCGCACGCACATGCAGTTTCTTCAAACAGCATTAGATATCATTTTTTGCATTGCCAGATGTTCTGGTTGGATCTTTCCTGATGTGAAAGGAATGCTAATTTCTTGGTAACTAATACTTTCATAGGTCAGAAAAGTCAGGGGCATGTGCTTATCTTTTTTTTCTTTTAATGGTTGATAAGAAAAGACACCAGGCATTTAGTGGAAGGTGATGGCATGTATCACCTCCCACATGTTAATGTTTTAAGGAGTATACTTAAGTTTTAAACTATCTCCCTGGGTGGGCTTTTTAGCAAAGGAGATGATTATTACAAATTGTTCTTCAGTGTTTACATAAGCTCTTAATTATGTACTTAATGTATTTATGGCAGCATTTCACTCACAGTGCAAAACAGTGGGTGAATTGTCTGTCCGGACAGAATGGGGAGCTTAGTGCATTTTTCACGTTTCTGCTTTAACTCAAATGTTCTAGTAATTTAAAATGTAATGTTATGGCTTTCATTTTCAGTTAATCCCTTACAAAAGTATCTTCAAACGTTTATTGCATTATTATATAAAAGGTGCCCAGGTACAACTGTAAGGGAGAACATGGAATAACGCAATAGCTATATAGAAGCATAAGACCAGCAATGGTAGAATGAATAGTAAAGAGTAAAGTGAGTATTTTTCTCATTCTTTGTAGATGTCATTCATACTGTGGGGCCAATAGCAAGAGGCCATATCACTGATATTCATAAAGAAGACCTGGCAAATTGCTATAAAACTTCCCTGAAACTGGCAAAAGAAAACAACATCAGATCAATTGTAAGTCCTGTACAATAACTTATTTATTCTATTCTCTCTGTTTTGTGTTCGTGCTTTGGCACAATTTTTATATGAATAATATCTGGACTCCAGAAATCTTCATAAGAATGCATGCCATGCATAGTGTGGAAGAGCTAGAAGTTAGACGTTGTTAATGCAACATCAATGGCAGAACAAAAAATGAAGACATTATAGGAGTGGAAGAAAAACTGAGCCTATACTCTAGTTCTGTCTTCAAGCTACTATCTCATTAAGAACTGACAGGGAGATATCTACTCCAGTGGTTACTTTACATTACATGATCCTACTGAAAAACTGAGGCGGTGGCAATTAGTCAAATGGTTGACTCTTCAGAACAATGTCTTGCTGAGTGTAATCCTGTGGTTTATTCTGTCAGTTACAGTTCTGTCTAAAAATAAAGAGTTGGTCACATAACATCACCTCACCAAAATCTCCCAGTATAGAACCATAGAAAATTAGGGTTGGAAGGGACCTCAGGAGGTCATCTTGTCCAACCCCCTCATCAAACCAGGACCACTGCCAACTAGATCATCCCAGCCAAAGCACTGTCTAGCTGGGTCTTCAAAACCTCTAACCTCTCTGGGTAACCTGTTCCAGTGTTTTACTACCTTCCTAGGGAGAAAATTCTTCCTAATACGGTATCTAACCTAAAGTTCCCTTGCTGCAACTTCAGACCATTGCTTCTTGTTCTGTCATCTGCCACCACTGAGAACAGTCTAACTTCATCCTCTTTCCAACTCCCTTTCAGGTAGCTGAAGGCTGCTATTAAATCCCCTCTCAGTCTCTCTTCTCTAGACTAAATAAGCCCAGTTCCCTCAGCCTCTCCCAAACCATTTTTGTTGTCCTCTGCTGGACTCTCTCCAATTGGTCCAAATCCTTTCTGGGAGAAAGGGCAGGGGGGAACTGAACATGATTCTCCAGATGTGGCCTCACCAGTGCTGAATAGAGGGGAATAATTATTTCTCTTGACCTGCTGGCAACACTCCTACCAATACAGTGCAGTATGCCATTAGCCTTCTCAGCAACAAGGGCATGCTGCTGGCTCATATTCAGTTTATGGTCCACTATAACCCCCAGGCCCTTTTCCGCACAGCTGCTGCCCAGCCAGTCAGCCCCCAGTCTGTACGGGTGCATAGGATTTTTCTGTCCTAAGTGCAGGACTTTGCACTTGTCCTTGTTGAACCTCATGAGATTGCTTTAGGCCCAATCTTCCAATTGGCTAGGTCACTTTGAATCCTGTTCCTACCCTCCGGCATATCTATTACTCCCCCTGCAGCTTGCTGTCATTTCCAAACTTGTTGAGGGTGCACTCTATGCCATCTTCCAGGTCATTGTTGAAGATATTGCACAAAACCGGCCCCAAGGCTGACTCCTGGGGCACTCCACTGGATACCAGCTGCCAACTAGATATCAAGCCATTCATTACTACCCTCTGAACCCAATGCTCCAGCCAGTTTTCCATGCACTTTACAGTCCATTCATCCAGCACATACTTCCTCAGTTTGCCTGCAAGGATGTTGTGGGAGACTGTATCAAAATCAAGGTATACCACATTCACTTGTCTCCCCACATCCACAGAGCCAGTCACGTCATCATAGAAGGCAATCAGGTTTGTCGGGCATGACTTGCCCTTGGTGAATCCATGCTGACTGTTTCTAATCTCCTTCTTCTCCTCCAAGTGCTTATAAATGGATTCCTTGAGGATATTCTCCATGATTTTCTCAGGGACTGAGATTAGGTTGACTGGTCTGTAGTTTCCTGGATCCTCCTTTTTCCTTTTCTTTAATATAGGCACTATGTTTACCTTTTTCCAATCATCTTGAACCTCTCCTGATCACCCTGAGTTTTCATAGATGATGGCCAATGGCTCTTCAATCTCATCAGCCAAATCCCTCAACACCTTCCAGAGCATCCCATCTGGCCCCATGGACTTGTACACATCCAGCTCTTCTAAATAGTACCTAACATGTTCTTTCACCACTGTTGGCTGCTCACGTCCTCCCCAAACTGTGCTATCCAGTACAGTAGTCTGGGAGCTGCATTTGCCTGTGAAGAATGATGTGAAAAAGGCATAGAGCACTTCAGCCTTTTCTGCATCCTGTGTTACAAGTTTGCCACCCACACTTTCCCTGATCTTCCTCTTGCTACTGACATACTTGTACAAACCCTTCTTGTTACCCTTCACATCCATTGCTAGCTGCAACTCCAATTATGCTTTGGCCTTCCTGACTTCATCCTTGCATGCCTCAGCAATGCTCTTATACTCCTCCCTAATTGTTTGTCAATGTTTCCACTTCTTATATACTTCCTTTTGTATTTTAGTTCACTGAAGAGTTCCCTGCTAAGCCAAGCTGGTCTTCTGCCATACTTGCTAGTCTTCCTGCACATTGGGATGGTTTGTTCCTACACTCTCAGTAAGGTTTCTTTAAAATACATCCAGCTCTCCTGGACTCCTCTCCCCTTTAGACTAGCTTCCCATGGGATTCTGCCCATGAGTTCCCTGAGGAAGTCAGTCTGCTTTTTTTGAAGTTCAATGTCCTTACTCTGCTGCCTTCCATCCTTCCTTTCCTCAGGATCCTGAGCTCAATCATATCCTGGTCACTGCTGCCCAAGTTGCCATCCACTATTACATTTCCCACCAATTCCTCCCTGTTTGTGAGCAGCAGGTCAAGAAGAAGATGGCGCCTAGTTGGCCACTCTAGTACTTGCACCAGGAAGTTGTCTCCAGCACTGTGCAAAAACTTCCTGGATTGCCTGCACACTGCTGTATTGCACTCCCAGTAGATGTCAGAGTAGTTGAAGTCCCCCATGAGAACCAGGGCTTGTGATTGGGAAACTTCCGCTAGCAGTTTGAAGAAAGCCTCATCTACCACTTCCTCCTGGTATGGTGGTCTGTAGCAGACCCGCACAACGGCATCACCCTTGTTGCTCTCCTCTCTGACCCTAACCGAGAGAATTTTAACAGGCCTATCTCCAGTTTCATACTGGAGCTCTGAGCAATCATATGGCTTTTTTACGTAAAGTGCAACTCCTTCTCCTCTTCTCCCTTGCCTGTTGTTCCTGAACAGTTTGTCCATAATAGTGCTTCAGTCATGTGAGCTCCCACCAAGTCTCTGTTATTCCAGTCATGTCATAGTGCCATGATTGTGCAAAGACTTGCAGTTCTTCCTGCTTATTTCCCAGGCTCCATGCATTCATGTACAGGCACCTGAAGTAACTAGTTGATTGCCCTGATTTCTCAGTAAGAATGACAACACCTCCCCTGTTGCCCCATCCTGCTTGCTGTTTCTCCAAGTCACCCACTTCCCCATTTACCTCGGGCTTTGGTCTCTATCCCCTGGCAAACCTATATTCATATGATGACCTGTAATTAGATTCTTAATTGATGACCTGTAAAAAGTTGTTTTATTATGTTCATATGAAATATATATCATGCTTTGTATAGCAAATTGTGAGATTTTCAAAATTAGAAATATGTGTCTACCTGTACACACTTGCATAGAACAAAAATGTGCATTTACATTTGATGATGTGCATGGTCAAGAGCTTGTTTGTTGCAGTTAGGTGCCGAACTGGTTAAGTGTGAATACAAAGGTCTGCTTTATGTGCCCATGTTGGATATGTACATAAGTAAGTAAGGTATGTGATTTGTGCCTGTAAAGAAGGTATGAGAACCTATGTGAACAGTTGTGCAAGCCTACCCTGGAATTGTTTTCCTAACAACTATATGAATCAGGTGAACACTTCTGTATGGAGGTTTGTGTTTATAAGGAGATATCTTAAGAGATTCTAGGTGGTGTCCAGATTCTCAGTGGGTATAAACAATCATAGCTGTAATAATATAAGAAAATAAATGGGTAGCCTATATCTACCTTTATTTATCCTGATGCAATCACCAAAGATCATTTTACATGTTAACTAAAGGATAGAGTACTCTAATAAAGGCTCTAAGCAGCTTGTTTCTGATTAAATGACCAAGAAGAAAATATGTGAGATTATTAAAACAGAATTTAGGGAGGCAAGGGATGGGTACCATAATTTGGAAAATGTCAAGACAAAGTTAATCAAAACTGGGGAAGGAAAGAAGAAAATAATGTTTCATTAACTGTTTCAGATAAAACAACTTTTTTAACTGTGACTTGATTAAATTATTTGAAGCAAAAAGCAGTTTGGTTTGAAGATACCATAGGAGACTAAATGTACATGTTCCCACATTTAAGTTAATATCTTCTGATTCTACAATAAATTCACCTTTTATTGGAGAAAATTTGATGAGAACCATGGTTTGTAGGGTAGAACTAGAACAGTGTTGTGTTAACTTGAGTTTATTGTAGGTATTTCATTTGCTTTATTTCTTACCGTTAATTATAAGAGGGGCAAACAGTTTCCTTTTACAAAGATCAGAGGTGGAATGACAAGGTTTACTTGCATGTGAATAGTAAAACATGTATAAAGTAATATGGCAACATTATAGCATTGTCCTTTTTCTGACATCACCACTAGGTTTTCTAGCCAGTCTATTTGCCAAAAATGGTATTTTCAGCTAAATCAGATCATTAGGTTAATTAAGTTGAACACTAATCCTCTCCTAACATCTGTGGAGATACAGTCTTTTTCTTGACGGTCCACCCAAGTCCAGCAGCCTGTTGGATGTGTGAATGGGCATAAACCATACCAGTTTCTATAGCCAGTGGCAAATAATTGAGTGCAATGTGGCTAGCATCATATTCAGCTGTCTTTGATTCTCCAGCCTGAATGACCAAGTATCCATTTACAGCCAAGTCAACTGGTGACAGATTTTGGCATACATCTGGAGGCATGTTTCAAACTCTCATCTTCTGGAAGTATAACAGGATGCCTTAACCACACTGCTACCATGCTCTATACATCCTGCCTTGCACATGTAAACAGATAAGTAGCTAAAGTCCCCCATATATGCTACTATTTCCACTATGTGCCCAGACCACACAACCATTCCA